TGCGTCATTGTTTCGCAATACATAATAAAAATGTAGCACAACTCTTGATTATGTTCGTTTAAATTTAACACATTCGTGGGCAGAGTTGTTTGGCGAAGTTATTTTTAAAATGAATCATTAATGTTAAAACTCTTTCAAGAACAGTATTATACTAGTTAGCGTTAAAGCTTTTCATTTTTTTATTTGTATTCTCTACTCTCTCACAAGGGACCTTTCAACAGGTACAGATCGGAATCTGGCCTCACTTATTTCTACAGATAGATATTCACTATTTATATGTGCTGTGACAAAAGAGGTACCGTCACGCCCTGGAAGTTAATGAAAAAATACCAAACTTCCACACTTTTCACGACGCAAATCATCTTTCCTGTGGGGTTTGTGCACCCTTGCCTACTGTGAAAAAAGGTCCCATTGTGAGAGAATGCCGCTCCAACGGGCACGAGTTCCAATTCACGGCAGCGAAATACTAAGCTAATGGCATTGCCCACCACCCCGACAAGCACGCAATGCCGCAAGGCGCAGCGCCTATTCCTCCGGGCACCAGTCCTCCGACACGGAATCCGATGTGATCTCAAAGTGTACAATGTACCCCCGCTCCTTTTCGCGCATGCGCAGTCCAGGTTTTTTTCTAGGTGGTCGAGCTACAGTAAGTAATGACCACTGTGTTAGCGAAAACAGCGTGGCAAAACTGACCAATTTTTTTAATTAATTAATTCCTCTGTACATCATCATCATCATCATCATCATCATCATCATCATCATCATCATCATCATCATCATCTGATCATCATCATCATCATCAATAAATTCCAGTGCGCCAACGTCATAATATTTTCCCAGCATTATAAATGTTGAATATCTTTCAATTAAAAACAAAAACAGTTCAGATTTCCACCTGACCTGCTGAAAGGTCCCTTGTAAGTTGGATTTGCAGACATGTTCTTTCTGTACCGTAGAACATGTGTGTGTGGCGGGTTGCTAGCCTGGGCGCCTTTTGCTCTGAAAATGTATAAGCTTTGTATGCAAAACTCGTATTTTCAATCACACGTTAATAAATATTCTTGCGACAACAGAAATAATTAAATTAATTTATAAATATTTATAAATATTTGAATAAATATATAATCATTTTCAGAACATTTGCTTGATCTGAAAATTAGATTGTTCTGTAAATTTCCGAGTAAAGTATCGAGTATATTTTTATTTCATATCGCATAAGGAGTATAAAAAATAGTTTGGAATGATGAGCGTATAAGTATTTATTATCCTTATTTTCAAATTCTATTTCGATTTGTTATTTTTTTAAATTTTCAACACGTACGAATAGTTGCCTGCCGGGGTGGTACAGGGACGTGGATCAGCGTCAAGTAGTACACGAAATCGAAGGTCGTGGGTTCTAGGCTCACAAAAAGTAACACACGATAAGGATACTCTGGCATGGTTGACTTCTCATACCGTCATATTTCACTTCTGAATCATCATTCCCTGAATAATTACTCATACGTGCGATGAAAAAATACAAGGGAGTTGATAGCTAACTTCATGATATTTTTGGTGCTGAAAAAAATGAATGGAAAATTTCTATTCCATCACGTTTTCTGGAATCAATAAATTTTTCTTACAGTTTTGTGTGTTAATTTTTCGCGCCTTTCGGAAGAGTAAGATGAATTGTTAGGCTCCAGATTGCTCAAAGGAACCTCTTTTTATTAGTACAGGAATCGAGAAAAGGAATTTGCTAAGTTCTTTGAAGAAGAGGATAACCTTGTTTACTGTTCTGATGTTCCAGGATTGATGAGTAAATTTAATAGCACCTAAGATAAAGATGAATGAAGGCTCTTCATAGATTCATCGAAAAGGAGCTGCCCAGCTTCATCACGGAAGCCAGTATGCATCTACTCTAGTTTGACTCTTGATGCCTTTAAAAGAAAGCCGTGAAAATGGCTGTCTCTCAGCCTCAACAAAATAAAATAAACAGACCATGGTTGGACCATTTGCGGTGATTTGAAAGTTATTTCCACGCTTCTTGGTCAATAAGGCAGATTAACGAAGTTCCCATGTTAAATTGTGAGTAGGCCTGCTGTTATAAGACAACACTGGTTAAAATTAAAAGGTGGCCTCAAAGGCAAAATCTAGCACCAAAAACAATGAATGTGATTCTGAACAGTTTAGTTGAGCCAAAGAAACTGTTGTTACCCCCTCTGTATATAAAATTAGGTATAATAAAGCAGTTTGGCGAGGTTAATCGAAAAGATGGCAGTTGTTTCAAATACATCTGCTAAATGTTTCCAGGTTTATCTGAATCCAAGTTGGAAGAGGGAATCTTTGCTGGTCCAGATATCCGCAAGCTAATGAAGGACAAAGAATTTGAAACTATCATGATAGCAAAGAAAAAACAAGCTTGTCTTGTCTTCAAAGATGTCAGTAAATTTCTGAGTAATTACAAAGATCCTCTCTCTAACCATCCAATACATTTAATGAGAGCTCATGGTTTACTTGCAGTAATGTATTCTGAATGACCTGATGGTGTGAAGAAAAAATTATTTTTACTTGTTGAAAATTCATCCACGGCGCTTTCTAAAATATGTTGTTTTCCCTTCAGTAAAATAAGGACACGGGCAGCATGATTGACATGACAAATTTAACAATCGCTTCTTTCGACTCCGTCACTGCAACTCCCATCGCATCCACCCCATCGGCCCTCCAGGAATTGCCACTCGCACCACTTCCCCGTACCACGTTCTCCCCGCCGCCGCCGCCGCAGTCACCGGCTAAGGAGCCACTGTGGTGGTGTGGGCGCGGGAGAGGCCGACAGCTCTGTCGAGAACACAGGCGAAGAGTGGAGGCCTGGCGAAGCAAAGAGTGTGTCGGGTGGGGGTTGGGGGGGGGGCTCCGAACATCAGTGTCGGGCGCAGGACACGACGGCGGTGGGGGCGGAGGGGGGGAGCGCGGGCCGAGGGCAGGTCGCCGGCGGTCGCCGGGATTTACGCGGCTCTGTGCAACGACCGCAACGACGAGAACAGGGCGGCGGCGGTGCGGGCGCTGGTGGGAGGGACGTGGGAGGGGTGGAGGGACCGGATGTGGGGAGGAGGGCGAGGGGCCATGGGACGCCAGAGCGGTGGGCAGTGGAAGGGAAGGAGAGAGGCGGGGACGGCAAGGGCAGCAGAGAGCAACGAGCGGCGCAGGTCGCCAGTCACAGTCACACGCAGCCTCGTCGCTCGTTGTTCGGCCTCGCCGCAGCCACCCCGCCCGCCCTTTCTCTTTGCGCCACCGAAGAGCCGCCAACCTGCCACCCGTATCGAAGGCCGCGCGCCCTTGTTTCGCACCGCGGAGCGTTAATGTGTTTCGACATTTCAACGCCAAACTCTCTCGGGAGTCCGACACTGAATGTGGCGGAAAAGCTTCGTGAAATATTCCGCCACGCCAGAGGTGGAGAAAATGCAATCTCGTTCGGCAAAGTTGTTTCGTTGAAGTCGCAAAGCGGATTGGTGGTTAGGAAAATAAATATTGTCGTCGTTCACGAAAGTAATGATTAAATATGAATGGAGTAACTTTAATTCGTTCATTGAAACGTAAATAAAATATTACGTATTGCCTGACAACACATGTTCAATTCACTCATTTCAAAAAATTATTTGGTCTTAAAAATGTCACGCTTTTGCATATTTTTAGGCATACATTTATTTCTTGGGAGTTCAACAAATAAAACACAATATACTACTATGTAATTATTATCTTCTTGTTTTTTTATGTAATTTTGTCCATTTCCACCTCGCATAAATTTTTGAATAGATTCTACGCATTCATCCTTTGTCTTTGATGTGCTTGTTTAGAGTGCTTGTGAATTGTAGAGAAGAGAACATTCAAAACACGAAATTTCCATTTTGTGATACAACCCGGAAATGAACTGTGGGGATACATGCATTTGGATAAAAGCAAGTTAAACTAGGTTAGCAATATTCCGGAGAACTTAATTGGAATATGTGCACTGGGGTCGGCCGTAAATGATGTTAGTGTCAATAATAACGATTTCTCTGTTCTAAATCAAGCATTAATAAGAAATAACAATCGTCTGTAATAAATCATAACAACAGAGAAGTAGATATACCAGTTTATTTCTTATTGGCGAACAGTTGGGAATTGGATGCATTATCCTAACCAGTCACCTATAAATATCCAACAGTTGTTATTCTTCCAGCTCCCTCTCTGTCCTTTTGCTTTGTTCTCCACTTATTCATGATCTCTCGCGTACTTGTGAATTTAATAATAACTCCAATTAATTGGTATCGTGTAATAAAATAAAATGTACTTAAAGTAGATAATATATTTCATATACGAGATTTTCTCTACCTATCTTTTAACAATTATTCAGTGAAAAAGACATCACAAATAATTGACGTGAGAGCCATAATTAATGCGTGAAAAATGCACATGATAAAACTTTGAATGAATTATTCGCGGGAATACTTTGTAGCACACGTATGTCCATAGAAGAAAATATAGTAGTCATTCTATCATTCTATCAAGGCGTATTTAGTTAGAACCAAAACAGTTAAACTGTAACGAGAGTTAAATGACCATAATGCATCTTTATGTGAAAATGTAGACTAGTTAACGGAAATTCAATTCTAAGCAGTATGCAAATCCAAATTCACTGTGATAAGAACATTTGAAACATAATTAATCTCTAACCTGCTTGCAAACCAAAGAAGCATATCTAAACCATTTGCTTTGCAGAAAACCAGTCTTTCAGGAATGTGGAATACAATATTCGAAGTGATAAGACCTCTGAAAATGGTGTTATTAAGAAAAAATGAGGCGAAATGGTCATTACTTCAGGATAATTTTTTGGCTCGAGTAATTTACATTCAAAATCTGATTATAGAAAATAAAATTATCCAAGCAACGTGAGTATTATATAAATTAACTTTAACGATATTCCAAATTTATGCAAATTAGGAATAGTTTCAACCATAAAAACGAAACTTCAAAAAATGTAAAACAGATTATCAGCTCCAACTTGTGGAGCGTTACACCATGACCTTTATCACTACCATCATTCCCATCATCCCCATCTATGTCTTTCTAAAAAGTACACATTCATATAATTATTCATAATTTTTTACAAGAGACTTATACGATTTCTTTTGATTTTTTAAAATCACACTAGGGATCACGATTTTTACCTCCAGGAAAGTAGTGTGCACAACGTACACAATTATATATGCAGATTACGAATATCACAATTTTCTTCTATATTTTAAAATATTTAGTGAAGAATAAATGTAAATTATAATTAAATTTCTCATTGTTTCTGAAAAGTAGAATTAAAATGTGTGACATCAAAAATATCAGGCGATGAAGGAATAAGCGATAATGAAGAAGAGCGATAAAGATCAGGTTGTAGTGATCCAGAATGAACTGTAAAATTCGAGGCCAAGTACCTCGTCTAGAGCAACAGCATCACAAAATGAGGCGTAACTACGAGTTTCCCACAATTGACCTACTTCCGTAGGATCCTGGCAAAGAATGAGCATGCGCAGTGTGTATTAGAATGCTCTCCGCTACGGCAGAGTCCATTCGCTTGCTTGTTTCCAACCGGAGCGCTCACTCCCGGCGCTCGTTTGTTTTCTCTCGGTGTGGATGGGCAGGGTGAAGACGAAGAGCAACATTTCGTCGTCCATGTCGGTCGGTCTGTGCCCTCTCGTGAGCTCAGCAGGAGGCAGCGGGGCGCAGGGTTTGTTGGCGGGGATGAGGAGGTGCGAGGAATGTGTCGTGGAAGATGGGGAAGCGGGGATGTGGGCGCGGGAATTGTGGCGCGAGGAATGTAGCGCGGGAATCGTTGCGAGGGAATCGGGGATCGGGAATCGGGGCGAGGGGACGTAGAGTGAGGAGGACGGGTCAGGAGGGCAGGGTGGGCAGGGAGAGAAGAGGGGAAGGCGGGGAGCGGGAGCGGGGGAACAGGGTCTTCGCTGGAAGAGGCCTTTGATGTCGCTGAGCGACGCGTAGTAGCGGCGCCAAGCCAGCTCTCCCTCACAAGCCTCTCCCCTCCCCCTCCCTTCAGTTCCCCGCTGCCCTTTGGGATGGCAACCTTTTTGGCGGTCGCGGGCTTCGGCTGGCCGCCGGGCCGCGTGTCGCTGTCCCCACCCCCCGTTGCTGCCACCGCAGCGCCGAGCGCCCGCCCGAAAGGGCTCCAACGTCGGATGTCGAAGCGTCAGCGCCAGTGGAAAGACGCGCTGTGGCAGTTGCGCTGTGGCTGGCTCTATGGGCGGGCTCTCCTCGCGCCGACGTCAAAGGACGTGTTTAGGGGAAACTTTCTTTATTTGTAAAATATACTGAGCGAGGTGAAGTATGATCTCAAACCAATCAATATGTTCTTATCAATCTTTTTTTGAAGATAGAAGATAAGTGTTCATTTTAAGGTGCAAAGTAAAGAAGTACCGATATGTATATTGATGCAAAAATTACTAGTGGACTCTACCCTAGTATTGTAGAGTATCAGAGACACATAACGGTACCCTTTTCGAAACGTCCTTTAAAACATGTGTTACCGGAGCCTACGACTACGAGATAATTCCAAAGTTACCTACATAAAAAAAACCTTGTCGACTGCATAAAGCTGATACACGTTTCACGCGCAGCTTGCGCAATCCGGTGGAGAGGGTTTGTATTGAAAACGTCATCAAAAAACAGCCGCCGCCGCCGCCGCCGAAACGACGACCAATTTCCGGCTGTGAAACGCGTTCAACAGCCACACGCACAAAAAATTACCCTCACAAATCTCGCGCCGAGCGAATGCACAGCAATAACCGTTGCGTCGGCGCGCGTTGTTCCGGCGGCGCCGCTCCAACTGCGGCCACAGGCGACATCAGTTATCCGCCGCAGCGCGAGGGGGGGCGGCAGCGCGCGGAGAGCGGCTGAGGCTGCGAGGGTGGAGGAATGGCGAGGACGAGGAGGAGGGGCAGTGAGAGCTGGTGGGACGGCGGGAGAGGATGGGATGGAGTGGCGGTGATGGCTGGGGACAGTGAGATTAGTGGAAGTGGCAGGGGTGGCGAGGGTGACGACACGGTGAGAGCGGCGGAGGCGGCGAGGGCGGAGGGGGTGGCGGGGATGGTGGAGGCCTGTGGAAGCGAAGGGGTCTCGGTCGGCAGGTTGAAGGGGGCGACGGAAGGAGACATGGGGAGAGGATGCGGTGGCAGGAATGGAAAGACTGCGGGGGTGACAGAGCACAAGGGTTGGGGAGGGCTGTGGCGGAGATGGTGGGGCTGTGGCGTTGGGGTAGCAAGAGTTGCAGTGGCGGTGGGGCTGTGGGGTGGCGTAGAGAGCGTAGGCGGCGCATTGAGGCAGCAGGGCGCCGTTCTGGTCGGACGCCTCATCGATTTTCGGCGGTGACACCCGTGCACGAGCCGAGAAGGGTGCGCGTGGGTGCGTTTATTCCGGAAGACCTCAGTGGTGGTTGGGCCTTAAAGACTCTAGGGCACTGCGGTTGGTAGACTACCGTTGGCTAACGGGTTTTTTCCAAACCAGGTATCTCTCACCAGGGGCCCCTCCACAGCCGGGACAAGCTCTACGCTCCCGACATGTGTGGAAGTGAAGTGCATGGTAGCGTAAGTGTGAGTGTTAGAGGTGAGAATAGGACAAGGAAGAGGAAGGAAATTTCTCGCACGGTCCGTGACCTATTTGTTGGGTACTCCTCAGGCATTTGCCTGCTGTTGATCGGAGAAATCACGGAAAACGACCAGAGCAGCCGGCCGCTACAATTCTACACCAGGCATTTTCTCCACCAACTATGTCAGTGACTCGGCTCGTCCCGGATAGCCTATAATATCCCTATCTAGGGGATAATAGGGGAGTTTTAATTTCTTATTAACAACTGGAACAACTGTTATTAAGCTGGAGCAAGGTTCACTCTCTTCGGGTCATGTCCAAAGCGAGTAAACGCAGCAGCTCCTAACTGAGCGAACGAACTGCAATAACCACAACGGCCGAGTCTTGGCTCCTTTCTCCTCGTGAATGTGAAGCAATGAAAGGAAACCCGCGTAATGAGCTCACTGCATTTGGCTAATCCCTTTAGGCGTAATCCGCCGGGAGGGTCGCGAGTCTGCTGCGCGCGGGCGGCCTCGGGAACAGCGCGCTGATAAAGTGCACGGGGCGGCGTGGGAGGGAGATGCGGAGAGTGCGCCAGGGCGCGTTGGCGCGGCGGGCAGTGCGTGCATGGGAAGTCGGTGAGAGCGAAAAATGGTGTGAGCGTAAGCAAACTATGGAACAGGGAACGGTTGGGAAGAAACAGGAACGGGGAAAGGATGGGGAGTGGAGGGTTACCCGGTGGGAGGGGGAATGGTGGCCCGTGGGGCTGTTGAGAGGGAAAAATGGCGAGATGGAAGTCTGGAGGCATGCGATCGCGGCGGGGCGGGGCGGGGCGGGGCGCAGAAGGACG